TTTTATTCAATAAAAAACTTTTTTTCTTTTTCTCAAAATCAAAATTTCATTCACAGTATAATTTCAAATTTTGCAACTCGATGATTGAACCGATCAACAACATAAAGATTTCCTTCATCGTCAAAAGATAAATCACGGGGATAATACAACTGTCTTGGTTGATTTCCATCACCATTTCCACTAAGAACAATTTCACCTTCTTCTTTTCCTTCACACCAACGCATTACTCGATGATTCTCATAATCTGCCACATAGATTTGACCTAAATCATCAACAATTACTCCTTCAGGATAAGACAATTGATTGAGATTTGCTCCTTGGCCATTTCCACCAGCCACACTTGTTCCTTCTTTTGCATCTTTTTTCCATTTCATCACACGATGATTGTTTTGATCTGATACATAAACAGTTTGATCTTCATCAACAAAGATAAAACCTGGACGACTGAGTTGATTGAGTTTATCTCCTCTTTCATTTCCACCTGCCACTATAACACCTTCGTTGTTGTATTCACCCATTGTCCATCGTCTCACTTCATTCTTCTCACGATCAGAAACATAAAGAAATCCATATTTATCCATTGCCAAACCCCAACAGCCAATATTTTCAGCGAGAATTTGTTGATTTTGATTCAACCATTGAATTACTCGCCTATTGCCATAATCAGCAATGATGATCGAATGATTTTGTTGATCAACAATCACATCTGTTGGATAATTCAATTGATCCATTCGATTTCCTTCTTTATTTCCACCTGCAATAGTTTGTCCTTCTCTTGTATTATATCTCCATTCAACAATACGATGATTAAAACCATCAGCAATGAAAATATTTTTCTTTTCGTCAATAAAGATTCCATAAGGGTAATAGAGTTGATTTAATTCTTCTCCTCTTCCATGTCCACCGGCTACAATAATGGCATACTGTTTCCATTTGTTGAATTTTGATACTAGAAAATAATGAAAACAAACGAGGGTGGATGTGAGTGCGAGTGATTCTTCTGATATACCCACACCGGAAAATTCCAAAAAATTGAACACAGTTGTTCTATAATGGAAATGATACTATTAGATACTGAGTACTTTTGTTCTGTCTTGGAAGTATTATTTCTGAGTGCTGAGTACTGTTATTCTGTTTTGGAAATATCACTTCCCATTCCATAACAGATTTGTGGTGTATTTAATTATTAATTTGTTTTGGACGACTGTGTAATTTCAGATATCATTAGGTAAAATATGAATGCGTAAGTGAGCTACAGATTTGGAATTTAGGTATGGAGCTTATTTTTTTGGACCCAAGAGATATGTCGATTCCTATTTTTTCTTTTATAAGAAAACTTTACCATTCTTTGTTGTTGTATGGAAATTTGTCGACGTTGTAAGCATTGTTGTATCTACTATCGACATTGTAGTTATTGCGGTTTTTGTTGTCTGCGTTGTTTCTGTTGTCAATGTTGTAAACATAGTTGTTTTTGTTATCGACCTTGTAAGCATTGCTGTTTCTGTTGACAACGTTGTAAGCATTGTTGTTGTTGTTGTTGTTGTCGACGTTGTAAGAATTGTTGTACCTGTTGTTGATGCATCAATTGTAGCTGTAATTGTATTAACTGTTGTTTCGGCTTTTTTAATGAAAATAAACCATGTTGTAATACTAATGATAGTTATTAGGATAACAACAACAAGGTTAATTAAAAAACAAAAATGAATTTTTTTATGAGACAAAGATCTAAAATGATAGATATATTTCGAATAAATAAATTAAATACTTACGATCCTGTTTGTGGACGCGTAGATTGTTTAATATTGTTTTTATTCTCTGATTCAGACTAAATATTAAAAACAAATTACTTATTTAGAATTCTTGGAAAAGTGTTGATTGTTCTTGTAACTAATCATCGAATCTATTCAGTTTGTTAATCTTTTCTTGAATAACAATAAAGAAAAATAAATCTCTTTCGAAAATATTTTATTTTGAGCATGAATATTTCATCTATTTTTAAAATTTATTTTTTGTCGAATACAGATAAGAATATGTTTAACAGTCTTTTTAATCCCGAGTGAAAATTCTCAGAAAAAGAAGTGAAATAAAAATCAATGAGAGATTTGATCTTGACTGTATATATTTATGTTTCTATAAATAAAAATTCAACTTGAATTAATCGTTTCTATGTAGAACATTTTAGTTTGAGATGATATTAAAAATAATACAACGATTTATGATGATTTTTTTTTCTTGTCGATGAGAATAAATTTGTTGAAGAAACAATTTGTTAATAAAAAGTATTAGTGAACGTGAAATGTATTGACATAATTTAAAGTTTGTTTTTACGTAAAGAAAAAATATCTAACATTTATTTCTGTTTATTGAGATAAGATTTCTTCCGTTGTTTTTAACGGAAAAACATTCAAAAAGCTCTTCTTACATATTCTTCACATTTGTCTTTCATACAATGAAAATAATCCTTTCAGATCTATCTTTCTAAAATAGTTATTCCATTTCGTGACTTTTTTCTGACAAACTCATGCACATAGGAAATCTACTTTTCTGGCTGAAACTCAGATAAAGCAGAACTAGATGTGCTGGTTTAACATTAGTACTAGGCTAATTTTAGTACTAAACCAGCACCTCTAAACACAACACCACTTACTTTGTGTTCTGGTGATGCATCATATGTAGTTGCTCGTTTTGCAGCCAACTCTATATCTCCTTCTTCGTTCTTAGCAATAAGAAGTTTTTTATATTCCATGTTTTGGTAATTATGTTTAGATAACTTCTCAAGTGTTGACTGTGATGATACTGTAGTTGTTACTTTTTTTCCTAGTGATGTTGATTGTGGTTCTGAAAAGATGAAATCAACTAGGAAGAAATATTAGATGTGCACTACTGATGAAAAAACGGTAATTATGTTATAGAAATTGTGTGATGGAATTGCCTTCGTCTGAATTTGTGAAAAGAACTTGGAGAAGAAAATATTCTGAAGTTATAATTATGAGACTCATTTATTATCATAGAGATCACATCCATTTTACTATGGAATTCTTTC